ATTAATTACCCTAATAAATAAATTAACCTACTTCTCTCAACAAACGTCCGGTATCCAAGAGGAACATTAAATTAAAAAACTGCATAGAGTTATTGCCCTCATTTTTCCAAGTGACAACAGTGATGATTTTCAACAGTCGGCAGTCCAGTATTCAACTGAATGAAAAAATGGTGCCCAAACCACATTTCTAAAAGAATGAAACTATTCAAAATGATGCGATAAAATAGAAAAGATAAAATAAAATAATCTGATTCGAATTTTGAGAAAATCGCTTCGAGATGCACTGGCTCTTGGCTAGATGCACCTATATACCAAATTTCGTAGCCCTGGGTCTATTAGCTTACGCACAGCACGAACGAAAGGCACACAGACTCTTTCTTTTATTATATGTAGAGATTATAAAACACCAAATACAGTTAAAACAATTAAAAAATTTTTACATTTCAAATTAGAATTTTTACCAATGGGGATAGGGCCGAAGGGCGATAGGGCAGATGCCCGATGGGCCGGAGAGATTTCGTACCGATCAAGAAATTCGAACTATCGAATCGACAAAGATGACTCGGAGAGAAAACCCTGCGCGTGAGGGAACGTGCGTAAAATTAATACTTTCACTCAAATATACATCTTCCAATGATATACAAAATGCACAGATACGACAAATGGCAAAGTCTGTAATGGATAAAATCTCAACTTTCAGAATAATTTTGTCTGCTCACGTATTTTTGAAAACAGGTCAATGTACTGAGTCAGCAAAGAAATATTTGAGGATTAAAGTATTAGATTACATCCTAGCAAATAATATGGTTAGGGAGGCTACACTCTCTTTCGAAACCATTTCTTGAAACTTCGATTTAATTTAAACTTCGATCGTTTGCAACGGATTGCAGTTAGTAAGCTAGAAAAGCTGGATTGTTATATAATTATAGAAGATGAACTACCTGCTAGAAGATGCCAGAGAGTGAAACAAATGAATGAAGAAGAATCGTCCGATTATCATTTCAATTGCCCTATCAAACAATTTGAAGTTACTGTCTTAGGTTTATAATGGATAACACCATTTCATCAATGCTATATATCCATATTATTACGGCACTAATGCAGGTGTAACAATTGATAATCTTATGGATGAATTTCAAGACCTATTAATTAAATGGGAAAGACTAAAATATTCAATTGAAAATCATTATTTTGATTTATCGTTATTTGATATTACTGATACCGAGTCAGAAGGAGAGAGGGATCTGTCTATTAATGAGTATTCATCTATATGCAGTTTTTGGAAAAATTGCGTCTTGTCTGTATATAAATTACTCTTGAAATATAATTTATATAGTAATGCGTACATTAATGTCGTTTTGCTTATAAGTTTATACTCACTCTATCTATAACGCAAGCTGAATGTAAAAGAGCTTTTTGAAAATTAAAAATTTTAAAAAGTAGATCAAAGAGTACTCTGAAGCAAGCTAATTTGGAGTCAGTGCTATTGAGGAACATAGAAGGAATATTTTGGCTAAAGCAAAAATTAAAGATATAATTGAGGAAATATTTGTGAGGCACCTGAAATTAAAAAAATATTAAAATGGCTAATTATGAATCAACCGCTGTTTTGTTTATATAATTAATTAGTCGCTGTTATTTATTGTTATATAACATATATATATATGAATAAAGTGTTACTTTTCGACAAAGGTATATTTTTATTTTATGGAATTATTTTGTATGATGATGACAATGATAACTTATACGTATAATGACATTTCATATGGGGCCTTACGGTCGGCATATTTTTTCCTGCTAGGGCCGGTTTTTTTGGCTAATCCGCCACTGGTGTAATAAACAAGTCGAACAGACAGTAAGAAGTAGGATTTTTCGGTGCACAATAATGAAAGTTTACTTTTCGGCAGAAAAACACTGAATATGCAGAAACTGACTTAATTCACTGTTCTACTAAGTTTCAAATGTAAGCAAAGCTGCTATGGTAAAAATAAATGAGGCTTACCCGCAATTAAATAACTTTTTAAATTGCTGATAATTCTGCGACTATTGAATGCAGATTAACTAAAGGCATTAAAACCCTTAACCGGAAGATAAGAACAATATAATTCAATCAGTTTTAAAGCGAAAAATGAGCAATTTACTAACATAAAAGAATAAAAAAAAAAGGTTATGTGTACACCACATGACTTCCTTGCACAGAATATTAAATTTTACGCATTTTGTTCTGCATTTCATTTAAACTTATTTCCTCGAATTTCATTAGAGATATATTTCTCATTCAATTAATTCAGTTCTCACTTCGCGGCAAGGCAAAAATACAAAATATTTTCATTAAAAATTGAAAGGTATAGAAAAACATAAAATATCAAATACAGTTAAAAGAATTAAAAAAATTACAATTAAAATTACAGTTTCTACGCAAAAAAACAAGCTATTCGTCCATCGGGCAAGAAGGCAGATTTTTCAGTGCACTTAACTAAAAGTTTCCTTTTAGTCCCATTCGGCAGAAACACACTAAAGGTGCATAACTATTCAGCTAAGTTTCAAATGTAAACAAATATGACTGTTATGGTAAGAAAACTTAGTCGCACTTAAACAACTTTTAAATTGTTGATAATTCTACAACTATGGCATGCAGATTAACTAAAGGCATAAAAACTTTAACCGGAAGATAAGAACAACATAATTCAATAACCTTTGCCAGACAATTTTAATCTGGCACTAAAAGTTTACAAGTGACCACCCGTAAGCATAAAATTGAAAATTTATATGAAAAATATGAAGAAGTGCTTAAGGAATGGGAGCGAAAAAGCATCATCGAAGGGGTTCCTAAAGAAAGAAATTAAGTCATCTTGTCGCTATTTGCCCCATTTACATATGGTGAAGAAGAACAATACGACTAAGATTAGTCCTGTGTTTAATGTTTCTTTTAAGGAAAAGGAAACTCGTAGTCTCAATGATTGTGTTGAAAAGGGACTGAATTTAATAGAGTTAATTCCTTAACGAGGTTTCCCTTGTATAAATTTGGCATACAGCTGATACACGCAAAGCGTTTTTGCAAATAAGTCTCTATAAAAAAAGACAGAAATTTCCTCTGATTTCTATGGTACAATGAAGATGGAAAGCTCAAACATTATCGTCATCACAAAGTTGTTTTTGATGTTTTTTGTAGTCCGTTCTTGCTTTAATCAGCTATCTGATACCATTTATAAAGGAAACTAGATGAAGCCAAGCATGGAAATAAAGAATATTCTTATTATGTTAATCCGACAACTGATGCTTAGCTTTTATGTGTCTAATTGCTTGACTAGCATCAAACCTGAATCAGACCTAAGCAATTTATTGAAGCTGAGACTGAAATTATGGCTGAAAGAAAATTCGATTTACAAGAATGGAAATGCACTAACCCTTTTGAATCTATAGCAAGTCCAACAAACGTCCTAGGGATGATGTGGGACAGACATTGTGATACTCTTTCCATAAACATCCCTGATATGAAAGAAATAACGAATGTAGTAAAAACCTAAAGAGGTATTTTAGTTGTTTCGCACAAAGTCTTTGATCCTCTCTGCATAACTGGTTCAGTGATACTGGACCTTGTCCAGTGGTTCTGGCTACAAAACTTGTGGCAATTAAAAATTAGTTGGGATGAAGAAATTGATATAAAAACACATCAGGAGTTTTTAAAATGGCTAAAAGAGCTTAAATATTTGCGACATGTTAAGGTACCAAGATGTTTCCACTATGATGAAGGACTCGAGCACATTTCATTACATTTTTTTCAGTGATGAGAGCAAACTTGCTTATTCGACCGTAGTCTTTCTGCGAGTTGGTAGGAGAAGCATTGGTCATGTGCAACTGGTGCAGAGTAAAATTAGAATTACTCCTTGTGGGAAAAAGAAACAACAACTGCTAGGTTGGAACTTCTTGGCGCTATTATTTCTGCTCGTCTTTCCTCGGAAATCCTGAAAGAGTTTCAAACAGACAATGTTTATTTCTGAACTGACTCTGTAGAGTCATTAGGATAGTTTTATAGCAAGAGTGATGAAAAACGAGCAACGCCCTCGCCGGAAATCGAACCACGGACCTCTGGAATACTCGCCCAGCGTGCTGACCACTATACTACGAAGGCATGCTAAGAATGCCGGAGTCATCATTCACCACCTTTTAGTTCAGGCGCCAATGTAGAGACATTAACTAATTTGGAAGCAAGATACTTAAAAAATGAGCAAACGCCTCACCGGGAATCCAACCGCGGACTTATGGAATACGCACCCAGCGTGCTGACCAGTACACTACGAAGGCATGCTAAGAAGACAGAAGAAATGCCTTATAACTCTACAACAGTATTAGCTTGGCTAAATAGAGAAAAATCGTGGGGTGTATTTGTTCAGAACCGTGTTACACAAATTAGGAATGATACCTCTTCAAGCATGGAGACATGTTACTGGATTTTTAAACCCTGAAGATTTGCCCATTAGGGGTTGTTCAGAGCTGCAATTATGCAATTCAAAATGCTGGGACTGTCCCAACTTGGTTATATCTTCCACCTCGTGAATGGCCAGTTACCGAAACAGAACTAGATGTCAATGAAGATGATGTATCTAAAGAGAAAAGAAGAGAAATTGTGACTTCTATGGTAAATATTCAAGTAATAGAAATCTGTAGAGATTATTTTTCCATTTATAGTAGAAATATCAGAGCAGCAGCATGGATTCCGCGTTTTCTCTGTAACATTTCGCATGAAAACGAGTTAAAAGGTAACTTGAGCTTTAAAGAATTCAAAAACGCAGAAGCTCTCTTCCCAAGTCCCTACAGTTGAGAACGTTTCAAGACGAGAAGTTTCTTATTAAAATGCAAGCCTTTAGAAATAAAGAAGGGCTCTGAGAATAAGAACCAAACTTGTGAACAATCCTGAAATAGAGGATTTCAGATAACCAGTTCTGTTACCTGCTTGTGATGTCGGCCTCAAATTAATCAGTGAAGAGCATGTAAAAGCAATGCATGCAGGTTCTTCAATCTTAATTGCCAGGCATAGAGAGTGGTTTTGGATTCTTAAAGCTAAAAGGTTAGTAAAGCAAGTTCTTTCTAAATGTGGAATGTGCAAGCGTTACAGATCTAAACTCTTGGAAGTTTCTTTGACTCCGCTAGCTAGAGATAGAGTTACTCAGACACGAGTCTTTGAGGTTTCTGGTGTGGATTATGTTGGTCCCCTCTACCTAAAGTCAAAAGGTAAAGTTTGGATCGTGTTAGACACTTGCGCCGTATACCGAGCGGTCCATATCGAATTAGTCCAGTCACTCATTACAGATGTTTACATTCAAGCCTTAAGACGATTTATTGCAAGAAGAGGCAGGATTTCAATTCTTTTTTCGGATAACGGCTCGAACTTCCTAGGAACAAACAGCGAGTTAGAAACCTTAGATTGGAACAAGATAGCAGTGTGCTCAACAGCTCAGAAAATCACTTGGAAATTTATTCCACCCAATGGTGCAGTGGGTGGTGGGAGCTCAAGGAACTTCTGCGAAGAGTGATAGGAAAATCAACCATACGAAGAGCTACGGAAAATCCACCGTGCAAAGAGCTCCGGAAAATCCACCGTTCGAAGAGCTGAATACGATTCTGTGTCACTGTGAATCAGTAATAAAAGCTAGACCGCTAACCAGCATACAAGATGACGCCTGCCTAATTGGTACCACACCAGGAATGTTTATCCATGGAGGCAGAAACGGTGATTTTCCAAATCTTGACAACGTAGACCGAACTTCCCTGATAAAACGCATGAAGTATTTGTAGAAGTTACGTGAAAATCTCAGACAAAGAAATAAATGAGTATCTTGCTCTTTTAGTTCCCAAGGACGTCAGAAGAAATGTTTTAAACGTTGGGGATATTGTTCTAATTGGGCATGCTTATGTCCGACGCATCGATTGGCCACTTGGAATAATTTTAGAAATTTATCCTGGAACAGATGGTGTTCCGAAAGTTGCGAGAGTAAGAACCTACAAGGGTTAGGGGATACGTACTTTACAAGACTCTATCTGTTAGAAGTGTCAGCAAAAACTGATATTGATGTCTTGAAGGATTTTAGAAAAAGTGACATATCTGTCAGAACTATTCACGACTCTTACGTTGGCAACACTGATACAGTTGAAGTGAGACACCTTTCCAAAAGTAGGTCAGGAAGAACCATAAGAATTCCTCATAAAAGGGATTTATGAACGTTGTTTTTATTTTTTTCAACTTTTGCAGCTGTATAGGACATACGTTTTACATTCACAAAGTTTAAAATTATACTTATTCTAAATTTGAACTGCAAAGTTCAGTTTGTAAATTTCACTTTGCAAGATGGGAGTGTGTTAAAGATTGTACAATAATTAATAGCGTTATTTAAACTTAACTACTACTTCACCTATGACTTTCAACTTATTTTTTTTTTCTATTACTTTTCTTTTTTGCTGAATGGCAACAATCATTATTGTTATTAAGTAAATATGCTTTCGGTTTTACTTAATGTTTAGAACGCAGTGTTCTCGGCTTATTTTGATGTTGTTTATTTTAGCAATGCTAATTTAAGGGGTATCAGCAGCCCCTATACCAATACCAACAATGTTAAATTGGCCATTTTCGATGTACCTTTTCTCAAAATCTGCTGTAGATACACGCTTGAAATTTTTTGTGTAATTAAAATATACTTATCTGATTATACTGAAATGAGCTTTTGAAACATTTTGAACTTTAGAATAATTTACAGAATATTTTGTTAGGCATAGTCAAATTTAGCACTTTTCTCAAAACTTTAAAAAAAAAAAAAATTAATTTTTTTTCCCTAAGTTTATCAAAAAAAGCTCATTTCAGTAAATATTAGGAAACCTAATAAATAAGTTATAAAATTTTAGATACCAGTGAGCAGTAGTTACTGAGAAAAGATGGCTGACGATTGTAAAAACGCGCCAACAATTGCACCAAATTAAATCTCCCAAAATCCGTGCAACCGTCTACCAAAGTAGTATCAATTTATTTATAATATTTAGAGTTAATAAATTATTAATTATAATTATAGATTTAAATAAAAGTTTAAACTTTTAAATAAAATTTTCTAACTGGCGTAAAAGTTGCTGCGATTGTAGCCCATGACTGCAAGTGCACTCAATACCAGCTCTAGTAACTAGTATTTTCATTTGCTTGGTTGATTATTTTGTTTAATACTTTAGAGATTTATGATTACAATTCCAAAATCAGGTTATATGCTGTTGTTCGGTGTCTGAAAGAGTATTGCTTGGCAGCATTGTTTTACGCCAAGCAGAGTTTGGCTTTAGTGTAACCCTAAAGTTATTTTGTTTTTGCCTTATTAGTATGTATGATTTCTGAATTGATGTAAGAGCATATGGTTGCTCGCTTTTAGCTAAGTTACATAGGTAACTATAAGCACATGCGTGTGCTAGTATTCAATAATGTTGTTTTTGTTAAAATAAACTTGTTATTGTTAATATTACAGTCCACTTACTGAAGTTAAGCATCATTAAATAAATTCGAGCTATCTTCGGCAAGAACAGCTGTGTTAACTAAAAGTGAATTATGAAAGGCATTAAAAAAATTCAGCGCCACTTTTCAAAATGCCTGCCTTAAATACTCATGCTTTAGAATTGGCTATTAAATAATGAAAGAAAGATAAGACAAAAGCTTATTGAAAGTAAATCTTAAGTGCACACAAAATTGATTTGATGAAATGTACTACTTCTTTAAGAAATAAATTTTATGTCTGAAAACAGATACTTGTCTTAGAGTGTGTGTGTTCATTATGTTTATTTTACAATATACCTCTCTCTATATTTTTAAAACACAAGAAAATTTAAAATAAATGATATATACAGACTAAGTCTAAACGAGTCAGAAGATTAGAACTTAAGACTTGAAATTCTGTTCATAATTAAAATAACTGTCTCATTTCATCTACCAAATACCAAGCCATAATTCTTTACGCTTTTTCCCTTATCAAGATTCTGTGCAAAAATTTAATATAAAATTCTCAGGATCCGTTTTATTTATTTTTTAATATACTATACTATACTTTTTAGTATACTATACACGACGCATCAAGAAGGAATCTAGCATTAACTTTTAGATTTACTACATAAAGTAAAGATATCATACCGTAATTATCACAAAAGTTTCCTCGACATTTTTATGACATGATTTACAACTAATTAGGTTGAGAAACACACTGTTTGAATATTTCAGATAAATACACTCTTTTTGAAAAAAAAAAAAAAAAAAAAAAAAAAAAAAAATCGAAGCACCAAGAAAGACTTTTGCGATCGTGACGAAATTTGGTATGCAAAAACATCTTGATCGAACATGCAAATGATCAGAGTTTCAAGGCAAATGAACAGGAATTGCAATCATAGCGCGTATTTCTAGTACGCAATTTGCAAAGTACAAAACCAGTAACAGAGACGGAAAATTTTTTTTTTTTGTTGCTGCCATTGTAATTCCATAAAGAAGCAACAAAAGATACCTAACGACGATATCGAAAACCTTACAGACAACTAAACGACTTCGAAAGTGGTCGAATTGTAGGGTTGCGTGAAGCTACCTAGGTCATACTGAGCAATAGGCCGCCACCTGCAGCATGCAGGCACTACTGTGCAAAGATGTTGGCAGAAATGGTTGCTACAAAGAAATTGCCGATGAAATGAAGGCTCTGGAAGGCCAAGGATCACAAATGCGAAGGAAGATAAGATGATTGTTCACCAGACCCGAACCGCCTAACGTTATCATTGTCGACTATTCAACGCACTACAGGCCCGTCTATACCTCCCGTGGTACAGTCCACCATTTCACTGCGCTTGTCTGAGGCGGGTTTATGCTCACAGAGGCCTTTAAGACATTTGCCTTTGACCTCACAACATCTGCGGAGTCGTCTGGAGTGGTGTCGCAGCCGATCATTATAGTGCCATCAGACTAGCATCGTATAGTGTTCAGCAAAGAATCCCGCTTCACTCTTGAAGCAGATGACCACCGTGTTCGTGTGGGGAGAGGACGGGGCCAGCGGTCCCAATCAGCCTTTATTTTACAAAGGCATACAGCCATAACCCCTGGTGTGATGGTGTGGGGCGCTGTTTCTTAAAGCAGCAGGTCATCTTTAGTTGTCCTCCGTACATCTTTAACAGTTCAACGATATGTTGATACTATCCTGCGGCCGGTAGCGTTACCTTTCATGGCACGTCATTCTGGGGCCATTTTCCAACAAGATAATGACAGGCTACGTACCGCTCACATATCGCTGGACTGTCTCCGTGCGGTTCCTACTCCTCCTTGGCCAGCAAGTTCACCAGACTTTTCACCAATCGAGCATGTCTGTAACATGGTACGCCGCCAGATTCGGGCACCACAAAATACCGTAGATCTGGAGCGACAACTGATGAGCCTGGCAGATTGTGTCGCAAGATGATATTAGGAACCTCTACCACTCCTTGTCTCGACGAATTCAAGCATGCATATCCGCCAGGGGCGATTCGATCAACTATTAATTTGAACACTCAGTGGATAATTGTGAGCCGTGAACAGGTACTATGACCTTGATTTTTTAATCATTTTATTATCTGTGTATGAACTATACACATATTCAGTTTCATCAAAAGCAACCACTCCCTTCATGGTGCTTCGATTTTTTTGCAAAAGAGTGTATTAGGCATACATTTCATCACCAAGTAAATATTATTTTCAGGAACAAAAGAGATAAAATTTCTGTCAACAAATGGAACTATTATAAAATAGGTAACTCCTTTCCTTAGTCTTTAAATTATTCTTTGAGGTGTTGTTGCTTGTTAAAGCACTAAGTCTAATGTTGCTAAGTCTAATTAAAATCCGAATCTGATGATATCCTAATGCGAATAAAAACAGTGGCTATATTAAGGTTTTATTCCTTCTGAAAATAACAAGCATCCATGTTTCTCCTGATAAATAATTACCTTCTTTATAATTTAAAAATTGTTTCCTATTTTTGCCAGTAACTTAAGCTTCATACTTAATTAAATCATTATTTAATATTTATTACAAAATTTATTACCTTTCTTTTTCGAATATTTGTTGTATTTAATTTTTGATGTTATTACCTTAGGAAATTAAATTTCAATCAGTTCCAAATTCATAAATTTATTTAATCATTTCTAATGGTATTTGTAGAACTTCTAAAGTAAATATAAATTTAACTCTACTACAAACCAGCAGTGGTATTTTCACGCAAAAACATCCAAATTTATTAAATAATTATTAGAAAAAATATTTTATTATTATGCTCATCACATACCTTCAAAGACGCAGCTACGTTTTCAATCACTTTTACTTATTTAAATGTGATTCTTATGGACAAGAATTTAGAATAATTTATAATAATAAATATGAAATCTTCACAAATTCAAATGGCATATCTTTTGGACGCAAATTTGGGAAGCACATTAAATGATGTGACTAAACTACACAGCGTTAATGTGAATTTTATAATCATAATGCATGATTTTAATGTCATCTAAAAATCAGTCCTAGTAAAAATGTTTTAAGAACTAATTCATTTTTGACCTGCAGTCAGATTTTGAATTCTGAATCAAAAATTAAAAACTGAAATTTGAAACGTTTACCAATATTTACCTTAACTCTTAACAAACAGGAATATCAGAAAACGGAATCATATTTACATGACCCCAAAGTTTTTTTAATACAATTCTAATATTTCGGTACCAGTATTAAATGCCTAGAAGCATTATTTCAATACGTTGATTAAATAAGGTAAGCAAGTTGATTTGTAATTTTTATTTTGCATTACAATGGAATAACAACGAGAATATTTTAATACAATTCAAGAGTATTCAGCAAAATGATATCAAATTCAACAAATATATGAACATCAAAACTCTTCCTTTGAAAATAATTTATTTGCATAAAGTCTAATCCAATGAAATATTGGATTAAAATTATATCTCATCCCATAGGATTACACAGGAATTATTAATTGTTCGTCTCCAAAATCCTTAAGTTCACTGGATTTAATTCACCAAACAGTTGTCTGTCGAAGCATAAGTAGGAATTTTAACTAAGATTACTAAACATTTTTACATTTTTAGTGATCTTAGATTAAAGAAATTTTATTACCACACTTTCAGTACTTCATTTTATTTAAATGGCCAGTAAAATGCTTTGACCGTCATATGTCTGCATTATTTCTGTTTTGTTTCTTGTCCACTGCAATTACTTTAAAAAAGATGTGTGTTACAGAAAATAATGCACAAAACTCTTGATAAGGGATTTTTTTGTTAATAAGACGTATTATTAACATTATGCATACTATAAAATTCTTTGCTAATGATAATTTTTTCATGCACACTCAAACGGAATGAACACTCTGTCTAAGCTAGGTAGAACCGTTTGAACTTCCTTTATTTCTCTAAAGGAAGGAATATTCATTTTTTTCTGAACTTATATTTCACAGCTGCTTTTTACAGCTGCTTGTATTTTACAACATTCAAAAATCCATACGTAACGATCAAGAAAACAAAGTTCCCTTTCATTCCGCTTCCTTTTCAAATAAATTACCATCATTTCCATTTGAAGTTGATTTACTTTCTTTAACTTGTACCTCTTTGGAATCGGATGGAGTAAGATTTTCAGTGTGTCTGGGATTACGAGAAAATGAGTCGTCTTCAGGTCTATCATACAAAGCTGCACTATGAAAATGATTGGATAAACCTGAATCATCGTTGACTGTTCTTGCATCAATTCTAGTTGCATCGAAATCGTCGGTCTCTGAATCTTCAGCATTCTGGTAAGGTAAACTATTTCTGAATAATCTGTTTGGTAATAAGTTCCGATTAAAACCTTCAACTAGCGCCAATTGTCTGTTTACCCAGGCTATATCTCTCGCTGAAGGTTTGCTCAGACTTCTTTCATCGATAACATAGCTACGATTATATTGTCTATTTCTATCCTGAAAATCCTCATCGAAAGGTTGATTGCGGGCACCTCGATAGTTCGGCCGCCTGCTTAATGGTATGTCAAAATAACCTGGGTTGTCATTTCGTATTGCATCATCGTCACTAACATCATCATTATGCAACAATATATTCTTATCATACGCCGGAATGCCATCAGGTCTGAGGAATAAGGGATAGGTTAATCTCTCATAAACTTGACCTGTTGTAGGATCTACTTTCACTGCTTGGATGCCATTAGGAATAGGGACAGCTCGAAGAACGAAATTAGGAGGACCAGCTCTTCCATCATACGACGGATGGCCAAACAGAACTCCTGGAGGAATAGTACGGGGTGCTAGAGGCAAAACACTTCCAGGTACTCGAGGCAAAACACTTCCAGGTACTCGAGGAATGCTTGCGTAATTTGGATTCAAGGGATAACGGGGTAACCCAAAATCTCTACGTGCTGATGTGTCACTAGCTGGATATCTGCCCGCACCGTAACCAGGTGTTGGTACTGGCGATGGTAATAAGCGATCGGATCCTACACCACCGTGAATGGTTGTCATCGAAATACCAGGACGCCTGTCAACAGGCAGGGGATCGTCATCAAATCCACCATAAGGAGGTGTGAAAGGACGTCTAGATGTAGTACGAAAGTATGTATCCTCCGACCCTCGCTCTCTTGGTAAGTAATATCCTGGTCTTCTTACAGCTGTATGTGGATCAATGGGTGGAAAATAAACGTCAGGAGGCTTAGAATCAGCTGTTGGAGCCTGAGAACGCAACCTTCGAGCTTCTTCGAAGTCGCTTGTTCTCAGTGGGCTGTTTTGTCCAGTAGCTTCGCTGGGGTAATATGCAACAGGACTCTGAGGACGATAATCATCAAAATTTTGTTGCCTAGTTTCTTTAGCAGCATTGTCGGTATTATCACTTTTCTTGCTGTCTTCCTCTGCACTTACGTAAGCAACTTTGGAAACTGAAGTCCGTAATCTATCCCCATAACTTCCAGATCCAACATTTGAAGTAGCAGCCGCCACTAATGGAAGATCTTGATCAGTTCTCACGATAGTAGCATGAGCTGCTTCAGAACTGGCAACACCCGGTTCATTAGATCGAATATGCGCACGGAATCCATCTTTGTCAGCCACGTAATCTACGATTCTGTGAGTTCCATCGTTGTGCGTCAAGCCATATGAGCCAATAACTCTGCCAATGGGATCTGTTTCTTCTTTTCTGAACTGTTCTCCTTCAGTGTTGCTAACGGAGTAGCTGAACTGGTAGTTTCCCAAAACCTAGAATTAAAGAAATAAAAATAAGTTTAACCCTTACATTTTTTAGTAGTATGGAAAAGAAAGAGTTGCGAAATTAAAATCAAATTTAAGAATAAAACGGCTACTTTGTAGCTAAATTGTCAGCCATTTTGTTAGACGGTTTCATTTAAAAATTGAAATCTATATACGTGTAAAAAGCGGGAACATTTTAGCATTTATATTTAAATTCTTCTAAGGTCTACACAGAACTATCATGTTAAGAGACTACATGAATTTTGCATTTTTCATGTGATTCAAGCATGTTCTAAACTAGATGTTTCAAAGCAACAATAGCGATTCATTAAATGAATTATTAGTGTCTTATATATAAAGGAAAATATATGCATTTATAAGCTATACCAGGGATGGCCAAACTTCAAGACGATGGAAGCCGCATGGTAGATTTTTTGAATGTCCAGGAGCCGCAAATCCAAATTTATATAAAAAATAATGAAACTGGTTTTGAATATAAAGAAGCTTTTCGAGCAAATTAATGAATATGTGATTAGCATGATTACGTATAAATATGAGTAAGTGCATCTACTGTTCTGTGTTCAGAAAAGTTAAGTTCCAAGAAAATAAAAATTCGTAACTCTTGTACTGGGACACTGAGCATTTTTTCTTCAGGTAGAGAAACCAACTATTTTCTTCTGATTTCCTTTACACTTCTCCGTTTATAACTGCTGTTGTTTTATTTTAGTATAAGTAAAATGAACCGGAAGCATATTCATTGGTCTACAATTACATAAAAATATTATCTGAGTAAATTACAAATCCTCATTTACAAAAAATTGAGAGTTTTTTTTAAAAAAAACTTATGAACATTCTTTCAGAAAAAATAATAAATTAAACTGGAAAAGTGTTAGGACATCACTGCAGTGAAATTGTTATTCAAGAAGAAATAGTTATTTAAAAATAAGCTATTAACTTGTTTAGGCTTTGGCTTAAAAAGTAATGTTGTTTCTCCACTGGATCCTAACCAAAGAAATCGTTAAATATTTTTTCCCAAAACTTTCGAATAACACTTTTACTGATGTCCAGTATAGAAGAATTCATCAAAAAAAGAATATGGTTAAAATTTTAGTGGTATTTGAATAATCAGTATCTCATGACAGTTCTGACTGATACAGTATCCAACGGCATCCAACGCCATGACTGTCATCCAACGGAATCTGCTAGAATTTTTCAGTAATCAGTACATTGCGCATCATTGAAAATTCTCGAAACTATCCCTCGAATCGTTCCGATAATTTTGGACATCGATAATGAAGTTCAGGCGCATCATTGAAAATTCTCGAAACTATCTCTCGAATCATCCTGATAATTTTGGACATAGATAACGAAGTTCATGTGCATCATTTAAAATTCTTAAAACTCTCTCTGAAATTGTCCTGATAAGTTTGGACATAGATAAGAAGTTCATGCGCATCATTAAAAATTCTCGAAACCGCTTCTTGAATCGTTACGATAACTCTGGACATACATAGCCCTATTGCTAATAAATCTAGTAGTTCATGCCGGTCTATATAAAAGGCTTCGTCGAGCAAATATTCCATCTGTCTACCAGCCGAACTCTTCATCCTAGCTGTTTAATTTTGAGCTGTTTTTCAAATATATGGCAAATCAAAACTAATGTTACAGAAAGAAAATATGCTTCTCTGTACTATAGTGAACTTATTTCGTAAGTGCAGATATAACATGAACGCGTAACTCTTCATATTTCTAGGGACATGCACAGATGTTTGTTGCGGAGGCCTTTTGTTACATGGAAGAAGTCTGCACAATAGTTCATACGATCTTGCCAAATAGGTGTACGGATCCACTGTATTGGATCCATAAAGGCTTGTCAAATGACTTACAGTCTCATGTTGAAATTCGAAGTAAAATAACTAGGAAGTTTAAAATAAATTATTGTCAGCCTAACAATTACATAGTACAAGTTTCCATTGTGTTATTTAACCTGCGTATAGAACATAAATCTGAAATGGAGGCTGTAGGCAGAGGATACTTTAGAAAATAAAAGAGCAGGCTCTAAAAATAAACTTTTACGGGAGCAAAGTTTCACATTATTGTCTGAAATTTGTAGTGATTAAGCAGTGGATCATCGTACAACGAAGCTTTCATGAAAGAAGTGTCAAATGTACATGATGATCGAAAATTAGGAAGACAAAAAAATATCCACATATTAAACACAAATCCACATAGAAGTGTAAAGCTGGCATCAGAGCCGGTGCAGATGCAGAAGGGTACGATTAGAGGGGTACCGGTATTAAGGGGCGACAAATTTTAGATAAGCCGGGCAGCAAAATGCTTCAATCTAGTGCGTTACTTACCTGCGACTCTAACCTAGTGCAGCAAAATCCTTCTAACCTAGTGCCACGTAGAAAGAAAGAAGGTCATCAAACAAGAAATATAAGAATAGGAGAAAATATCACAAGTTAAAGAGATTTGATCGATATCAATATGCCGATTTTGACAGAAACTTTGGAGAAGAGAGACGTTGCGTTCTGTTTATCCTTCATTTCTTAATGCAATGTTATTGATATGAAGATTTGATGATTAAGGTGAAAGATCTCTACCTGGAAAAGCAATATTTGATAAAATGGGAATTAAACATTTTGACTAAAATTTAAATTATTATTAAACCAGTGATTGTTCCCATGACTCCAAATATTTCAGCATGCACAACCATTGGTTAAATAAATTATGATCTCTGTCTAGGATTACCAAGGAATTTTTACGAACGATAGAGTTTCATGTGGAAAAAGTGTTCAGTAAGTATATTATTGTGAATGGTGGCGAAATTTGTGAAACAATTGCATAAAAATGCTTGCCTCTCTTAGGGATATTAAATTTGTTTTGAAGGAGTTCCGCTGAAAATTGAGACAAGTCTCCTGACCAAGTATAAAATCCTCGTAAAATTCCTCCTCAGTTTAAAAGAGCTCCATATGGATTGCAAGGAAAATGAGGTTTCTTCAGCAGTTACTCATGCCAATCAAGGACTGAATAAAAGTAGCACCTTTCAAGGAATAGCAAATTTCCAGGTGGATCACAACTGTTGTGAACAGTGGGATCACACAGGAATGTAAGCATATACTGTCTGAATTAAAATTAACTTCAGAGAAAAAATGTTAGAGACAAAAAATAAAACAAACATTAGCATTGCGTTTTAGATTAACTTTGTATTAGTGTATTACGATGACCATTACCTGTTCAAAAAGTAACATAACCGGAATAGTAATTACCAGAAATGGAATTATTTGTAATTTTACGTATTTGTTGCTATGACAATAAGCCAGCAGTGGACAGTTTGAAACCTAACAAATTTTTACGTACATAATATCAGAAATTCAATTAGCGATTAATAACGAAACGTGACACTGCATGATTTCTATTCCATATTCCATTTGTAATAAAAAATTAAACTCTATTTATTCAAAACAAGTCGCATTTCAGATGGCAAAGGATCGCAAGTAGCTCGAGAGCCGCAGTTAAGGTGTCGGAGAGCCGCAATTTGGCCTCTTCTGAGCTATTTCTTTGAAATAACACAGGAATTGCATCAAGCGAAGTTCCCAAATTTGAACAAATAATCAGTTTCTAAAATGAACACCCTGTGTAATACAAAATCTTGATGTGCTTAGAGAAGAGAAATCTTAAAATCATCTCCCACAAAATTCAGTTAAATTATCGTGCCGTTCTCCTTATTACGTAAAATGCTATTCAAATATAAAAAAATAATTCCGAAACTCTTGTTAATTGCCCTAAATTGATTAAAATTTCTCATTGCTCACATTTATGGTAACTATACGCTACTGGATACAAAGTATGCTGTTGCACCGGTATTAAGATATAGAATGGGCAACTTAGCCTAATACAAGCAAATTACAAAAGTAAACATGTCCGAAAGCCACATACATTTCTTATTTAAAAATAAAATTATGTCTGAAAGAAATCATTTAAATATATGCCAGAAGAGCAGAATGATTCGCAAAATTTAGATGAATGATGAGTTAGGCATAACTGAATATCACTAGACAACTGATGAATTTCTTGAAGCATATTTTCAAGAACTGGGAATCATTCTTTAAAAACTGAAACACTTCATCGGCTTGCTAATCGAAATCATATGAAGGCGAATACAGGACCTTTAGATCGTTATTTCTCAATGCTGTTAAATAAACACAACACAGGTGATATGAGCCTTCTCAGCAGCCACTGATATTCGAATAAGCAGGTCTACTGCTTACCGATGTCTTCATGGGTATGATCATCTTTATGCGACAAAACCACTGCGCTGCATCTAACTTTCTGCTATTAATTTACAAATTGTATAAATTTTAGCACTATTAATTTATAAATTGTAAACGTTCAAGACGTACCACCTTCATTGTCAGTACTCGAGCCCAGCCTAGATGACTGGGCTCTATGGATGATATCATGCTCAGTTTAAATAATGATTCTGAACGTACTTTGTCCCATAGAGACTATGAAGCATGTAAGTTTTTATCGCAAATCCATGAACGGCACTGTTTCATTAATAGCTATTTGTTTCTTGGGAAAGGAATCATCAGAAACAGCCGCATCAAGCTCCATACCTGTGACAGAGGCTCTGTAACGTGCAGAGATGCATAAACGTCTCTTCGCGTCCCTAAATAAGACTGTTTATGATTGATGTGGGCCCAGACGTCTTTTTTCACGAATGACAATGTTTGACTTCATTGAACTACTTTGGTGGCTGAATACTTTCAATCTGAGGAAATTTGGAGAATGCGGTTTGAACCTCCAAAAATGAGATTTGAAATTTTAATGAATTGATCTCATACTCGCAAACCGTCAGTTCTAGAGAGCATATTTAAGATGTCCTATGCCAATGAGTTGACCCGTCAGCATCCTTATCGAAGCCTTCGGGAGCACAGATCTGTACTTTTTATATAGCAGCACTGAATAGCATTTGTTTCCTACAGACTTAATTGATGCTTTAA